AACACTGATTGATTCTAAGAAAGCTCTTTTTCCTATCCATGTTTATGCTTGTGTATATTATTATACCATTTCTATGTGGATATTTACTAAAATTGTTCATACTTACAGGTATAGCATAACCCTGTAATTGCCCAAGTCAATTGCCATGTAGACAAGAGGCCACAAAAATGATCATTTTGCATCTGCATTTTCAGTCATGCCAATAGTCAATATCACCTAAGTCATACTGATTAAGTAAATTATTGTCTGAGCCAGCTATTAAGGGGGCCAAAATAGCCAGATTATGATGTGCAGGACTAATTTTATATCATACAGGCACAGCCATAGTCAATTAGCCTCAATAGAATGGCACGAGTGTAATTTCCATAAATTACCATGTTCTCCACATTTCAAGTAAACATGCATAAAAAGCTATTAGTATTTGCAGCAGCAGAATATACCTTTTTCCATACCAAACCATGAGTCTGGAGATACTTCAAAATCAGTTTCTCTTTGGTCTCAGTAAGACCTCATCATTCCAAATTAGAATGATGTTTACAGTTTCATTCCAAATAAACAACAAATAATAAGGAATAATCCAAACATGTTTGGTTTTCCTGCAATTATATTTCTCAGTGTTTGTAGAAAACTTGCATCTTCTGTAATTTGCACACCATTCTGGATTTTTTCGTATAAAATATGAGTATTTTCTACTACAAAAATTTGGGCCTTTCTTTACTGTTGTGTAAGTATAGATTATTTCCTATTTCTCCTCTCTGTGAGTCAATTTCTTTATATGTAAAATACCACTATAATCTTACCTGTAAAGCAGTACCTAATTGTAAGGATAGAGGATTAAAAGAGTTGACACATGTAAAGCAATTAAAACAGAGTCTGTCACATAGGAAATGTTCAATAAGTGTTATTATTGTTATTTTTATTACCTTATTACTACAGATGCTTTGGAGCATTAATCTTTTATACATTAAATTATTTCTGATCAGTCAAGAATAAATTAAATGTATACAGCAACAATGAAGAAAGACTGTGAATGGTCCAAATTCATAATTAAAATGTTTTATAAACTTTTAGGCTCTGGAAGTGTGACATATTCTCACTCATCCAGATGTTTTCACATCTTTTAATTAAAAATAAAATATTCCCAATTGAAATCTTAAGAGAGTACAACTATTAGTTAGAAAAAATGTGTTGCAAAGCAAATTTTCACATCTGAAAAGCTAAATGTGATTATGTTCAGAAATTTTTTTAAAAAATAAGGGCTGTTTAAGGCATCCAAGAACAAATAAGAATTATAGACTTTTAAAGATCAAGTAGTTTTGTTACAGTTAATAAAGAAAGAACCCTATCAAAACACCAAAATTATTTTATCAGAGTGTAAAAATCTAAAAAAAACAACAACAAAAAAAAACTGAATTTTCCAGAGAATAATAAAAGGTTATCTTGGGACACAGAAATTCAAATTTCCTTCAAAGTGGTAAAGTGCAAATACAAACAAAGAACTTGATTTGCCAGCTTTCAGCACAGAGCTGCCCTCTTCCCAGGAGCCTGGAGATGTTCCAGGCTCCTACGCCTATTCTTGACTTTATGACAGAGGGTGTTCTTTTCCTGTGAGCTTTTCTGGGCATGAGAGAACATATCCTAACCAGAATGAAGCTCTGCCACAGAGCAGAACTATCCTAAGGATAATGTGGCAATTTTTCAGAAAACCTATCAGCCAGATTTTAATTTCTGCGGACAAAGCCAGCCTTCAGCCCATTGTGAAGGAGATGTAGTTTTCTCAGTACAAGCCATTACCCATCACTGAGCATAACTTCCCACAGACCCTGGCCCTGAGTAGCATTCATGGTGTAAGTCTATGACTTGCAATCCTGGCTGCACCAGAGCTTTATAACAATACCGCTGCTGAGGTACAACCTCCAGGGATTCTGATTTAATTGGTCTGGGGTGGAGTATAGACATGTTTGTTTGTTTGTTTGTTTGTTGTTGTTTGTTTGTTATTTTGCTTTATTTTATTTCCAGCTCCCCAGATGATATTCTTGTGCAGGCAGAGTTAAGAATCACTAATATTGAAGAACAATATTTCTCATTTGAGTTTCCAGACCACTGCAATCACCAGTGATGCTTAAGAGATGGGGGAATGGGTGGAAAAGGTGAAGAGGATTAAAAATTACAAACTTCCAGTTATCATACAAAACTAATCACAGGAAAGTAAAGTACAGCATAGATAATATAATCAAAAATATGAAGGGAGGAAAGCAGGCAGGTCAGGGAGAAGGGAGGAAAGCAGGTGGGGCAGCAACCACAGCAGGAAATTCTATTGCAGGAATCTTCCTACAATGGGCATTTAGTCAATAATATTATAGTAACTATGTATGGTGTCAGATGGTACTAGACTTATTATAATGATCACTTCACAAGGTATATAAATGTCTAATCTCTATCCTGTACACCTGAAACTAATACAATATTGTATGTCAACTCTAACTGAAAAATAATTTTTTAAAGTGATGATTCTTGGGTACTCAGATATTCTGAATCGTCATTTTAACAAACACCCCAAGTTACATTGAAGAACAAAATTTTCTCTTATTAAAACTTACCCAGCTTCTGTCTCATTTTCTTTTCTTTTTTAATATATTTTATTGATTTTTTACAGAGAGGGAAAGTTAGAAACATCGATGAGAGAGAATCATCGATCAGCTGCCTCTTGCATACCTTCTACTGGGGATGTGCCCGCAACCAAGGTACATGCCCTGGGACCTTTCAGTCCCCAAGCCGATGCTCTATCCACTGAGCCAAACCAGTTTCGGCTTTTGTCCCATTTTCTAATTGGTCAGACTAATCCAAAATAATGTGATAATAAGTGGTGTTGAAGTTAAGTGCTACTTTTTTATTTTTCAATTACATTTGACATTCAATATTATATTAGTTTCAGGTATGCAGCATAGTGGTTAGACATTTATATAACTTAAAAAGTGATCCCCCAATATGTCTAGTGTTCCCTTGACACAATCCATACAGAATTATTACTATATTATTGACTAGAGGCCTGGTGTATGAAAAGTCATGCTCGGGGGCCGGGGGGGGGGGGGGGGGGGGAGGGGTGTCCCCTCAGCCCGGTCTGCTCCTTCTCACAGTCTGGGAGTCCTCAGGGGATTTCCTCCCCAAACAGGCCTAAGCCGCAGTCTGGCCTCCCTCTGCAGGAGGTGACCAGGATGATCAGGGGAAGGCACCGCCTCATCACCCGCCACTGCAGCTGCTGCCCCTGGCCACTAAGGCCACCTGCCCTCAGCTCTGGCAGCCTCTGTGGCTTTGTCAGGAAGGATGTCCTGCTGTCTGGTCTAATTAGCATATTATGCATTTATTATTATAGATTATTATAGATTACATTTCCTATGCTGTATTTTACCATCCCATGACTATTTTGTAACATTTTGATGAAATCTCGTGAAGAATTTCTGTGGTAGGTCAGTGAAAGTGGTTTTATTTGGTTGGTTATGAGAGTGAGGGGATGAGACAAACCTTATAGTACCTCTCAAATCCTATTGTGCAGGTAGTTTCCTACTTCACTTGAGGTGTCTCCATTGTACTAAGGCTTAGTCAGTAAAAGAGAAAAGTTTTGATGCCCAGAGCTAAGCTCCTAAGCCCCACTAGCTCCATCTTATGGCTCCTTGCCTCATGGGTGACCAACTCCACAAAATGACCATGTTTCCATTAGATTTATTAAACTCGAAGTGAATAATATTTACGAGCACTTATCCATTTCTCTTCAATTATGTAAACGTTTGTGGCTTTTTTTCCCCCATGCCATTGCCTCATATCAATGGTTCTCAACCTTGGCTGCACATTGCAATCACCTGGCAAGCTTTAAAAAAATACATATGTGCCAAAACTGGTTTGGCTCAGTGGTAGAGCGTCGGTCTGCGGACTAAAAGGTCCCGGGTTCGATTCCGGTTAGGGACATGTACGTTGGTTGCGGGCACATCCCCGGTAGGGGGTGTGCAAGAGGCAGCTGGTCGGTGTTTCTCTCTCATTGACATTTCTAGCTCTCTAGCTCTCTCCCTTCCTCTCTGTAAAAAATCAATAAAATATATTTTAAAAAATAAAATAAAATAAAAAAATAAAAAAATACATACCGTATTTTTCGGACCATAAGACGCTCCGGACCATAAGACGCACCAATTTTTAGAGAAGGGAAATGAAGAAAAAAAAGATTCTGAAACAAATAGTGTCCTAAAATACTTTATGTGCATTAAAACCCAACATCACAGTCATAAACACTTGTAATCAACCCTGTAAACAAAGTAAACAGCAGCATTTAGAACCATTTTAGAGCCGGGCAAGCACACAGAGACCACACAGAGCCAGGCAAGTAAAAAAACTTTTTTTTAAAAGTATATGTGTAGGCTATATTTGGACCATAAGACACAGGGACTTTTTCCCCCCACTTCTGGGGGGGGGGGGGGAGTGCGTCTTATGGTCCGAAAAATACAGTATATGTCTGGGTCTGATATTTCAGGTTCTGAGTTAACTGATCCAGGGTGGGCCTGAGCATAAGATTTTTTTTTAAAAAGATCTTAGGTGATTCTACTGTGCAGACAAAGCTTAGAATCACTTGCCTTAAAGGAAATGATACAGACTTCCACAGGTATGGGTGCCCCAGCAAAGCTCACAGGAGTAAGATCCAATAAGTACAATTATTACATGTAAGTTGGAGCTGGTAAAAGAAGATATTTTCCTACAATTAAAAAAAAAACACCTACTTTGAACTCATATAGGCCTAAAGACCATTATGCATGTATCATTATATGCCATCATAACATGGATGGTTGTTATTAATGTACTACTTTTGTTTGATGTGTTAATTCCTTGACATCATTTACTTTCCTCCATCACCAACTACACTGAAATCAGTCTTCTTTTCAGAAATAAAGATAAGGATTACTTAAACTGAAATCTGGCCCCTCTGGGTCTGGATTTGTCTTTGTTTCATTTTGTAGGTCACTCTCTGGGCGCATTGTTGGAGGGGTTTGGTGGTTCTTCACCCTGATCATAATTTCTTCCTATACTGCCAATCTCGCTGCTTTCCTGACTGTGGAGAGGATGGTTTCTCCTATAGAGAGTGCTGAAGACTTAGCTAAGCAGACTGAAATTGCATATGGGACCCTGGACTCTGGATCAACAAAAGAATTTTTCAGAGTAAGTGCTTTACTTTAATTGGGCCTGCTGATTTTTATTGTATCATCTTCTCACAAAGGCAAATTCACAGTGTTTTTAAGGGAGGGTTAGGAAAGAGTGTGAATGTTATCAGCTCACTAGTTGCTGACTTAATTCAATGTCCTTTAGAACTAAGACTTGTGTGTGACATAAGTGGCATGCCAAGAGCTCTAGCTTGAACTGCCAGGTTTGAATCTCAACCCTGCCACAAAGTGATTGTTTGTCCTTGGGCAAGTCATTTAACTTCTGTCAGCCTCAGTTCCCTTCCTTGAATAATGAGGGTATTGAACTGTGTAATATATATTCTCCTTTCTAGCTTTTACAAAAGCAGTGATTTTGTGTCTCAGCAGTTCACACAAGTTTGGTAATTGAGTCTGTCTAGGACTCTGAAGACTGAAGGACTATAAAATTACCTATTCTTTTTTATACATTGGTTTTCTATTGAAATGTATTACAGTTGTTTCAAGTATTCATGGACATGCTGATAGTTCAATTTTCAGAGAAGCTAATAATTGTTCTTAAATTTAATGAGAAGACTTATTTTCCCCTCTAATTCCCTCCCTGGAGGCCAACTCTTGGTAAGGAAACAGTAAATTGTTCACTAGAAAAAGTTATATAAACACTATCAAGAGAAAAGATTAAAGGAGATGGAGGCAGAAAATTTATAGAAGGATAATGTGATGGACAAACCACTTTTATATAAATTATCAAGATCTTTGTTCTGTAGCAACTGGACTATAAGAAAGGCTACCAATGGACTGTTTAAGAACTTAAATATTTTTTCAGTTACCCCAATCAGGAAAATATGGTGGTTGATTAGAAAATGAAACCATTCTATCCCTGCCAGCAGGGCTCAGTGGTTGAGCGTTGACCTATGAACCAGGAAGTTACAGTTCAATTCATGGTCAGGGCACATGCCTGTGTTGTGGGTTCGATCCCCAGTGTAGGGCCTGCAGGAAGCAGCCAATCAGTGATTCTCTCTCATCATTGATATTTCTATCTCTCTCTTCCTCTCCCTTCCTCTCTGAATCAATAAAACAATATTTAAAAAAAGAAATGAACCCATTTTACATGTTACCACTGCCTACTACTGTAATCACTGCAACTGGTTGTAGCTATGATCCAGAAGCCACCTGTGTAGTAGGTAGAGAGGAAGCATTTAGTCACTCTAGCCAACCAATAATCAAGTTATTGGATGGCAGGTATAGTTACTGGCTTTTTCTCAAAGGTCCAGAGTAAACAGATGTTGGTTATAAACCAGTTTGTTTTAAGAAATAACAAATAAATATATTTTTACATGTATTATCATGAGGTTGGTCCAATTACTTTATGGAAAACCAGATGGAGTGTGTTTCTTATAATTATGGCAATTAACTAAAAACTGTTTTTCATTCCCTGAAGAAAAAAAAGGTTAGTTTGTAAACCTTCCAGAATTCTCATCGGCTCTGAATACCCTTTACACTTCTACCACTGTTGACTGAGTAGGTCATAATCTCCAACCAGGGAGAGAGGCCCAATATTGGCAGCATCAAAATAATACAAAGACCCTCTGGAACTAAAGGTCTTGACCCTCACTATTATGGCAGTCCCAGAAACTTCTATGGGGATAATTCCCTGTCCCCATGAAATCACTCGCACATTTCAGGGCAGAAAGCCAAGGATTTCCATCCACTGAGTAGTCAACACATAATCTGCTCCAAGGAAATCTGGTTTGGTATCAACTTCAACAGAGCTTGCATTCACCATCCAATAGGCTTCAAGTTGCTATATGAAGAAATTGACCACTTAGGCTATCAAGACACCAGACTTAGACCTTCTGATAAGACATACTTGTTCCACTGGAAAGCACTTTTTCTTTAACAATGATTAGAAATTAGGAAGGTGTGTTTTAAATGGTAATCAATAGGTGGCATCAATTCCCATTAAGCTTTCAAAAGCATTCATTCTTATTGCAGGCAAAAGAGTCTCTCTGGGAAGATTTATTAGTACAAAGGCTTGAGAGTGTGACCAAATAGTCATTGTCCCCATGGCCAGATTCCATCCCCCATGCACTTTGTGTCATTCTCAAAAACCAGGAAAGCATCTACTAATCCATGAAATGATGGTTTCATTAAAGAGCATTGCATTACTGGAATCCATTTGAATCAACATTTAATTCTGAACAAGGCTATTCTAATTGGCTTGCAGTTTCTAATCTCACAAATTTCTAGTGACCTTTACAGCCAATGAATAATTTGTATGGAAATGGAGCTGTTTTGAAAATCTAACTAGAGAAGGAGGTGGATATTTCTAGTTATATAAGGAAGTGCAAAGCATTTTCTAATTCCAGCACATGCCACTTTTTCTTTTTCCCCAATTGGTTGCTGGTGACAGCATTGGGACTCTGTAGGAAAGTTCTTCAGGGCAACACAAAAGGTTGATGATCTAAGAGTGGAAGTGAAAAGTATAGAAAATTCAACTCTTTAGTTTGCTTGCACTAAAATGTTACATAAAACTAACAAAGCGTAAGCTTAGTATTCATATAATACTAGGGGTCTAACCAATTTGTCTCTAAGCCACTTGTCCTCTTTGTATCCTCCACTCCACCCTCCTTGAGCCCCGTAGATCAGAGAAGACAGCCAGCAAGAACACATCATTTCTTAGGGACTGAACTGCCATAGCATGTCACTTCCCTCTCAACCTTCAATAAACTCAAGGCAAGCTTAAGAACAGTAACTCCTTCACACATAAAAACTTGGGAACCTTTGATTACATGCTTTCTGAACTTTAGAGGATAAAACAAGATCAGATGCAACATTTACAAACATTACATGAGCTCATTTCTTTCCATTTTCACTCCATACTAAAACCACAGGGATCAAATAGCAATATCATAAAACAGCCTGGGGCCAGCCCTCTAGTTATTCCACTAAGAAAGAGAAATAAATAAAATAAAATTCCTTTATAATTGCCCTGCAGACATTTTTACTCATTCTGGGTAAGGCGACCATTAAAATGATGGTATTTTTTAAATGATTCCTTTGTTTCTCTCATTTTCTGAGCTATCCTTAGCTCTTATCATAAAAAATCACATAAAGTCATTGGCACAGAGGGACCTGTTCCTACAGGAAAGGCAGGGAGGGAGGGAACAGATGAAAGAGACATCTGAAATATTACCAACAACGCTCTTAACTTGAAAACTGATTTCCTTAGACTGCAGCTCCAAAACTAAATGTGCCAACCAAAAAATGGAGGCACGGCAGGGTACAAAACAAATCGACAGCTTTATTGTCATTGCCCAGAGAAATGCCACTATGATTTGGAAAGCTGCACTGAAATAATCATTCTCTACTAGGTTTTGGAAATTTAACCTGATGCAGATTTGTGTTAAAAAGTAGCACTGGGAGAAAAAGCAATTCCAAAATTATCCCTGCCTTCAAACCCCTAGAAATATTAGAAAACAACTGCAATGCTTGATTTCTTTTTCACATACTGATCCTGGCTAAAGATAGTTCAGGGGATAAAAGAAGGTTGTTGTTGTTGTTGTTTTATGAAATGTTTAATACTAATTTAAACCAGCTTAAGAAAACAAACATAAAAGGGGAGGAGTGGCACTCTGGGGCCCTAGACAGGACAGAAGAATTAAACTTTGTCTGGAGACCATCAAGGGGGCTGTCCTGTCTTCTGAGTTGCAGCATTGTAAGCCCCAGGAAGCACAGATGAATTACTCATGGAGAATGTTTTTGTTTCGACACTAGACTTTAACTGTTACTGTTTTCATTGGTCACTTTTTTTTTTTAATTCAGGCAGCAAAAAGAAGAGCCCTCCCAAAGTGATTTAGGAAGTAGTCCCTACTAAAAGTATTTAGATACTGCTTAAACATTCAGAATCTCTCTTATACACACACATACATACACACACACAAGCATTTTATATTGGTTATCTATTACAGGGCATTTTAATAATATGGGAAAAGGAGGAAAATCTCACCACAAATGTACCTTTGCTGAATATATTGACATTTTGACATGACCTTAAAGCTTTATTACAACTGAGCTATATACACAACAGACATCCCTTACCCCTGAACTATGCCCAGGACCAAACCAGAGACGGGCGGACCTGCATTACCACCAACCAGATCTGAAATATCATGGCTGGCATGTACACATAAGGAACTATCTGGCATTGAAATTGGGACACAAAAGAACTGTTGGCCCAGAAAGGAACTCACTACAGACTGATTCATTTGCCTCTCAGCATAACCATTATGGCTTGTTGAAGTTTAGGTTCTTACAAGGGTATTTCTTGGATCACATGATCTTACACATCTAGAGGAAATAATGAACAACATAAACAGACCCAGAGAAAGAGAACCAACAATTAGACTCTCAAACCTCAGAGGGAAAGTAAGGGAGGATGGGGGTAAGGGGAAGAGATCAACCAAAGGACTTGTGTGCATACATATGGGCCTAGCCAGTGGCCATGGACAATGGGGGTTGGGGGGGCATATATAGGGAGGGGTTTGGGATGGGAATGGGAGAATAAGGACAATTATGTGAGACCATAATCAATATAAATAAATAAATAAATAAATAAATAAATAATTTCTCACCAAACACTATAATGAATTTGAGATCTTGACAGACAATTTACCTGGGCAACTGCAAACAAATTTAATTCATATTCAAACCACGTACTAGCAACAAGAGACAAGCTGATACCAATGAATAATATGTCAGAGATACACTATTTGGCAACTTAATTTTTTTTTAATTTTTTAAAATTTTTTAAGTTTTTAAATTTATTTATTAATTTAGGTATTACATATGTGTCCTTATTCCCCCATCGCCCTCTCAGCTCCCACTGATGCCCTCACCCCCTTGTTGTCTATGTACATTGGTTAGGCTTATATGCATGCATACAAGCCCTTTGGTTGATCTCTCCCCCTTAATGTTTACATAGATGTTTTGATGCCACTTTATCAAAAACAATCTTACTTT